TTTTGTATTCTACATATTAAGCAATGTCCCCTGTTAATAAAATGAAAATCAGATCTTAGCAAAAGAAATCAGAATTGAGCATTGAGGCTTGCTGTGTGAACTCCACCTTAGTTGTGATGCCAAAAACCGAGTCTTGTAAATGTAAGTACAACTTCACATATACAAGCTCAAAACAGAGAATCATGCATGACACATGCCTTTCATTAAAGAAATGCTATCATTATTTAGTATGCATTTAACATGTAGGCTAATGGAAGTCAAATAAACAGCTCAACCATAAACAAACCTTTACACAGATGTTAAGACTTGTATTGACCGTGTCAGAGGCTAACAATGGTTATAATTCAGGATTTACTTATAAGCAGCGTTTGAATAAATATGAGAAACATAATGTAATCGCAAATTTCTACCAAGACCCAATTATAAGAATGTATCTGAATAATTGCTCTACAATGGTTAAGCTCAATGATAATTATACCCACAGGATTTGGGACACATTTGTTGTACTGGATTAAATACTGGAGGCAGTTGGCATTGATTCAGTTTAAGTTTGATGCTAACACATTATGGAAATTGCCATTGAAGGGCTTCACTCACAACATTGTCCTTGCTCAACAATGTTACACTTTTCTTAACAATGTGAAGTAAAATACTGTTTCCTAAGTTAAGAAACACTAATTTAGTCTCTTAGCATCTCTACAGTCTAGCACTACTGTTGCATCATCGGTCAAACGAGGGTGGCCCATTGGTTGATTTAGCTCTAATGATGAGCAAGTCAAAGGAGCATGCTGTGGAATTTATACATCTGAAGTGAATGAAGAGGATGCTACAATGCTCAGGATGTTAAAAATGTGCCAATTTAGAGAGCTCAAGTGTGTTCTTGAAACTCTTTAGTTCAGTTGCTTCTACAGGTACCACTAAAAATTTAAACAATACATTGTTGTCCAAGGTATTTGAAGAAACCGCCTTTATTGTAAGAAAGGGAGGGTAAGGCCCAAATCGCCTAGAGGTAAGGTCACGCCCCATGTAGGAGGCTTTGGTCCTCTGAGCGGGCAGCCCAGGTTCAAGTCTGGCCAGTTGCTTATTTTCCGCATGTCATTTCCCACTCTCTCTCCACTGTCATATCAGATCAGGTGAAAAGCCCAAAAATGAATCTATAAAAAAAATAAAAAAAAGGGAGCTTGCCTTTTCACACCTATCATCCCAGGGGTTACCATAAGTGTCGGGGGAGTCCACTGAAGTTTTAAAGGGCTGGCTGACGTCATTATTCACGTTGCACATATTCATATTGAGCATATCAGGATTCTGGGCTAAGCCCCAGATCTCCAGTGACCCTAACTCAGCCCCTGCATAGCAAAAAAGCTCGGCACAGTTGAGTGAGAGAGTGACAGTTTTATAAACAATTCCATTTTGAAGAGTGAAAATGTCGCACCACAAATTTACCTATTGAAAAGTTTGTTGCAGGTCCGGAGCATCTTTTGAGCTACAGTTCTCATGGTGCCCCTCCCTCCGACCAAACGGGATGCCTACTGAACGTCAGAAAAGAAAATTGCGCAGGACGTAGTGGAACTTTTTAGGCTATTACTCTATCAGATGTGTATTTGATGCAAAGAGATACAAGAGAGCGGACCAGCATCCCTCATTCTGCCGGTCGGACTGCTTAGGACGCTGGCGCACCTGAGGAAGCCTAATCAGGTGTTAATGAGTTTCAGCTGATCAGTTCTGCTGATGTCTCGCCCTTCACTCCTCCCCTCTCTCTATTGTAATAGCTTAAGGGGGCAGCCTCGACCCGCACTTCCTCGTGACTTGTGATTCCATGTCAACAACAAAGTTATCTCTTAAAGCATGCAAACATGCAGGCGACAGACTGCCTCAGGGGGGAAGTGAGCTTCAGTTGGGGCATGGGGGTTTCTTTGTTATGCATATCCTTCTTATCTGTGTCATGGAGCAGGATAACCACCATTACTCAGAAAGAAACTTGTTTCTGCTGACCTTTGACTAATTCAACTGCAAGCTATTTTCTTGCCAAGTAGGCTGTAAAAAAAAAGAAGAGGTCAAATTAGTCCTGCAACACTTGAAGTACTTAGATCAACTTTATTAACAAATTAGACAGACGCATTTTGGACTTCATCCAAGCTGGATAAAAATAGCAGTAAAAAGAAACTTGAATGATGATAAATGATGAAAATGTTAATTACATTAGGTCTACAGAATAAACTTCAAGAAGACATAAAGGATCATTTAATGACAGTAAGGTGTGGGAGTACCATGCAGAAGAGTATTTCTTTGCATGCTCTTTAATGCACTTCTCTTTGAGTGTGTGTGGGGAGTGCCGACTGGTCAAAACGGAGAGCTCTCTGGTCCTATAGAAGTGAAACCCCACGATACGATATTATCACGATACTTGAGCCATGATATGATATTATTACGATTTTAAACATTTTGGGATATGCTGAGAATTGCAAGACAATATATTGCAATTTAACTTTTTCAACTGCATATTAAGATCACAAAATTAAAAATCAAGAAGTGTTTTGTCAAATAAGAAAAAACTCTATTCATCACACTTCAGTCTTTTTATTTCTACACAAGGGGAGTCCAGCCCACAGACTGACTGACACTGTGATACAAGTCAAACCCTGTAAAAGGCTGCATGCACCTCACAAGTGGAACTGTTAGTGTTTCAGTCTAGTTGAACTTCAACATACGTTTTTAACAATGCAACTTGTTCAAAATGAACTCTGCAACCCCTTCAGCAATTAAAAAAGCACATTTACTGTTAATATAATACAAATATCCATATATGCAGCCATGAGATGATATAATATCACCACACAAAATATTGCGATACTATGCTGTATACATTTTTAACCTCTATAATTTTTCCACATTTAATTATTTTTTACATCTGCAATTGATAGTAATATGTTTCTAAGAAGGAAAGAGCTGAAGTATTAAATTTCTTCCTGTACACGCACACCTCCATGTCATTGTACTAAAACATTTAACCCCAACCATCACACAGTAACAGTTAACCTTATGTAATGTCTTAGATAAAAGGTCATGGTAGAAACTTCCCAGTCTCTAGACTGACTGTAAAGTGTCCACAATAGTGCTTTTCAAATATGTTGTCTCTGCAAATGTCAAGAATCAAAGTTCCTGATCCTTAGCTTAGAATCATCTACAAAACCTTCAGCATTTTGCCCTTTGTTTAGGTCAGTTATGTCTGTAAAATATCTATGACTAGAAGAATGGGAGAAAGTGAGAAGAACATTTAGAAGAATCACTTTAGATGCTCTAGATATTTTGATGATAAATTAAAAGGTGGAAAAGCATTAAGAGAATAGAACTTTCAGGTTTCTTATTAAGAACATGTAAATATTTTACAAGTCATGCGCTCGAGCAGGTTGTTGTTGTCCAGCAATTTTTACTAGCTGTGTGCACTCATGTGTTAGTCACATGGTTGAAAACAAAGGTCACCAAATTCTCTCCCAGTTCGTCAGAAATGTTCAAGATGCTGAAAACATCGCACCTGCTCCTTCTCTTCTGTCTCGTCGGGGCAGGGAGTGCCCTGTACAAACAGTGGATTCCAGATACCAACTATGAGAATAAGACCAACTGGGACAAAGATGCTGTCCCATGTGGCAGTGACACAGTTCAGTTTCCAGCTCAGAGAAAAGTGTCTGTGTTCGTGGAGACAACACACGCTGTGCGGGAGATGAGGCTCCCATTGGATGGGGAGTTCATCCTGAATTCTGGAGCTGGATTTTTTGTTGTTAGCGGAGAAGAGCCAGGCTGTGGGGCGGGTGTCACAACGAAGTTCAAAGATTCAGAGGGTCTACAGTGGTTCAACCCAGCTCTGTGGCAGGCGGCGGCAACTCTGGACGACCTGCAGCATGGAAACGTCCTGTTCTCAGTACACGAGGAGAGCGTCCCATGCGAGTATGATGATGTGGTTTTCAAAGCCCGCTCCTCTTTCAGGGTAGACACCAGCTCTAGTCAGTCAAGCATTCCTGTCAAATCTGTGTCCGTGCTTGGGAAGATGTTTGAAACGGGTTCAGAGTTCTCCCAATATCTGAGCACGCGCTCAGGGAGGCTGCAGTTCCACGGATCTTCTGCTGTCACTGTTGGAAAACCAGCTTGTGGGGATCCTTCCGGCTGTGACTGTGGAAATTCTGTAAACCATAAGCGGATCTGTGGCACTGTCACATGTGACTCTTTGACTTGTAAGACGCCTCTTTCCCCTGTCGGACACTGCTGTAAAGTTTGTGGTGCTATTGTCACAATCAAGTTCTCCGCTGATTTTAACCTGCAGACCTACAGGCAACGGATCCATCACCTTTTTCTTATGCTGCCAAAATACAAATCCATCCAGCTGGGCATGTCTAAAGTCGCCAAACCACAGCGATTGATGGGGATTGTCCCTTTTGGTACCACCCCTGAGATCCAGGTAGTTATCCTGGATGGAGAGAAGGGAACACAGGCAGAAAATTTGGCCTGGGACATAGTGAAAGATGCTCGTTCTCATGGTTCTAACTTGGGAATCACTGAGGCTGAATTTCAAGCCTCCTCTGGGGGCAGCAGTGATCAGTCTGGAAGCAATGCTGGGGTTATTGTTGGAGCTGTGATTGGAGTTTTAATTTTGATCTCCCTGGTTGGTACATTGGTAGTCCTTGTTCGTAAAGGTTTTGTTCAAATGCCATCAATGCCTTCAATGCCTTCAATGCCTTCAATGCCTTCGATGCCTTCAATGCCTTCACTGCCATCTCTGAGCAGATTTAAAAGACACAGTGACATTGGGGACCTTGGCAGGACTCTTGACCATGGCTATGACAATCCCATGTTTGACAGGCCTAACATGATGCCTGATATCCCTGCTCTGTATGGCAATGAAACCAATTCTTCAATCTCGATGAGCCAGACAGGTGTGCACTTTGTGAATCCAGTTTATGATGATAATGAAACTGATTTTAATGCCTGAAATGAATGTGATTTTAATGTTTTTTTTAAAAATGATTCCTAAAATTTCAACTCAAAGATTCTATGGACCCTGTAAAACAACAAGCCCTCCTCCTGTAGTTGTATAATAGTTCAGCAATGCAAATAAACCTTTACAACCTAATGGACTTTAGACAAATAAAAGTATTACCAGCTGACATTTGTGTACCTTTTTCCTCATTCACATCCCATTCAAGAACTATAAAGTTGCAATAAAGCTGCAGTAAACACCTGCAGCTACACATGGTTTATACTGCAGAGTTACCACTCGATGGTAGTACATTTAACATGCATGTTAAAAAAATTCTGCATATGTGCCTTTACTTTTCTACCTTATTATTTAACTATAACCATTTTTTTTACAAGATCACCAGAGAGAACAGATTGTATTACGGATATGTAAGAAAAATGTAACAAAGGTATCATTTTGCATCAAGCAGAGAAACCACGTTGTCTTTTTTTGACAGCCAGGTGACGACATATAAAGGCTCGATGAAGTTAGCCACGCACTTGTGGAGAAGCCTCATAGGACCAGTGACATCATAGAAAGACATGGTGCCTTTGGGAAAATCAATGTATAAACCAACTTTGGTGAGATTAGAGACTTTCAAGCCAGTCTCCACGCCATCATGCCAGGCGAAGAAACCTCTGCTGTTCCTTCCAACACACCAGGAAAAGTAATTCCCGGTGATGCAGCTCGTGCTTTGCTCTCCCTTACGATCGATGCTCTTATATGTGACCCCTAGGTGTGCGCCTTCCCCGCTCAGCTCTGCTTCGATGTAGTGCCTCCCCAGGTAAAGGCTCTCCACAGTCATCGCCTGTCGCCAGTACTCGAAGCGTGAAGGGTGATCAGGGTAGCTGTGCTGCCAGGGGCTGGAGTTGGTCAGCTTCCTGTTGTCTTCCTTTACGCGAAGGAAGTTATGAGTGGTGTCTGGATCAAAGGTCAAACTCCTTGTGTCTAAAATGAAAGGGAAATATGATTTTTGGAAAATGTGGATGTTGTCGGATGAGCAGGTAGGATTTGCCATAAAGGAAAAAACATTAGTACCAACATTTTAAAAAGTCATCACGTGTCTCAGGATCGGGCAGGGATGAAGCTGGAGGTTCTGGCATCTGGGATTTAGCACCTAGTTCATTTTGGAGAGAGAATATTTCATATTTCAGTTAGACATTTCCACATTGTACTGAAAATAATGGAGAAGGGCAAATAGATTGAATTTTTTTTTTTAAAAGTCTCTGCCAACAGTTCTGATTGGCTCCACAAAGGGACCGAGGTGCCAACATGTTCTTAATGGCCATGCTGAAATAAACAAGATTTAATGACAATTTATGGAACTTATTCCAAAAGGAATTGACTTAAGTCCAGTTGCCTTTGGATGAAGCTTTGATTTACCATGACCTGGATGACTGAGAACCTACACAGACATCTCGGCCATATCAAAATCACAAATGTGAATCTTGTAGTGGTGCTAAAGGAAATATAAGGGGAACATCAGAGTCAATAGAAAATCATGTATGGGAACAATCAATGTTCATAATGTTTTACCCATCAGTAAAAAGAAGGTTCTTTTTTGGCACCGTGAAAATATTTTCAAGGCCCCCATCAAAGGCTGATCCAGGGGCGATTCTAGGGTCTGTTGGGGCCCTAGGCAAAGGTTCAATGGGGGCCCCTTCCAATTAATTTTCCTCTTTCTTTTTCCACCCCCAGATGGATAACTCCTCTTTATTGTCCTTCATTGACAAATTTTAGTTTTCACAGGAATCATGGTGTGACGCTTTGCAAGGCATCTGACAGCACTCCCCACTGTCGTTGCTAAATTTGTACAATTTGAGGCAATGCTTAGGTTTCAAAGTTTGTCAGCCGTTGAGGGCCCCCCCTACTGGCCTGGGGCCCCAAGCAGTTGCCTTCCTTGCCTGTTGACAAGCAGCGCCTCTGGGCTGACCATACACATCGTCTCATAAACATACTGTATATCGACATTCACTAAACACACTGTCAGTCATGCCCTTTGCTATTGAAATCCTATATTTTAAGAATTTATCTCAATCAAAACTACAAAAATGCAACTTCAGTTTCTGACAACAAAGTGAAAAATACAAGCGATACTGCGACATGAAATTTCACAATTATTAAGATGTAACAACAATTATAGCTCTATTTTTTAAAACCTGACCATCTGCAGACTAACAGCTCCCTAAAAGTAAAAAAAAAAATCATGAAAATCCTAAAATTGATACTTTCTGTCCTGCAATAAATTCATTGACTACTGTGGATGTGTCTTGTGCTACATATGTTCTGAATTCTTGGTTGCAGCTGTGAGACTGCCACTCTTCATTGTCAATGTCCAACTTTATCTGTATTTTGTGTTGATTGAGGAAACTGCAAAAAAAACCTAACACACCGGTACGATGTGGCAAAAAGGGAGGCTTGTGGCTCTATACATTACCCACTGTAGAGGTGAAGCCGAGGGTAAGATATGACATATTTTCTTGTCTTTGTTTTTGTAGATGTGACATCTGGTGTAGGTTCATTGTTAGCTTTACGTTTACCTGCAGTCCTCTGAGAAGATGTGACTTGCTTTGTTGGCAGTGCAAAATAGTGTGCATTGTTTTTATTTATAGCCTTGCCGCATTCCTCCGTCATAACCTCGGACCCCCTTTGGAGATGACTTCACTGAGTTTAGTCGTTTTTAAGAGTTGGTGTGAGTAAGATCAACAAACGTCATTACATTTTCTTCTTCTTCTGGGGCCCATGTCTGTACAGAATTTTAAGGCTATCTATTGTATAGTTTTTACATTTTCTTTGCTGAAGTGTGAATCATCTGATCAGTCCATATCTACCAATCTGTCAGTTAGTAGATATGGACTAAAAGAGCAAATGTCACTGAAGGAAGCAAAATTCTACACGAGCAGGAAGGTGTCGGATAAGGTTAACACGATTAAATTTACACTTACAACTTTTCCACACCAGGTTCAGTTTTTCCTTGTAGGACGACAGAATCAGGTCACATAACTCCTGTGTTACATCAGTCACTACTTGAGTATAAGTGGTCAAATGGTCCATGCGGTTGATGTATGTCGTTGGAAGACATACATCTGCCACTCCTTTCTTCCACTCCGAGTACTCCTAGAACAAGCAGATCACAAACAAAACATGCAACTCTTCTTCTCTGATCCATGCATTTCTCTTCCTGTGGTGTCCTGAATACCTTAACTCTTGCTTTGTGTACATCATCAACAGACATGGCGTCCAAAAATAAACCGTCTCAGAGAACATCTTGTGTTAATCTCAGTATTACCTGCAGGAAGTCAACATCAGACTTGCACTTGGACAGTTTGTTCATTTGAGCGACAGTTTTCATCAGCTCTGTTCTCCTCTGCTCCAGATGTGCCTGGATGCCCTCCGCCTGCTTGAGTGCCTTTCTCTTCTCTCCGTCCAGCACCTCCACCGCCCCCTTTCTGGCCTCATCCACGGTCGTCTGCAGCTTTTTGAACTGCTCCTCAACAATAACACAAACCTCCTGCACTGAAGACTGACGGGCCAAACAGGACAGAGAAAAACGAGGACATACACAATTAAAGGAGACAGTTGTTGCTTTAATAAACGCACCATACTTTGCATCAACATACTGGAACATACTTTAATCAGGTCGTTGTTGCTTTGCAGCTTTTCAATGGCTTTCTCAGCTGCTTCAGCACCCTGAGTGATCTCTTCTTGCTTCTTCTGCAACTCCGCCTGCAAAACAATCAACACAAACACACTGCAAAAGTTGCTGTCTCAAACTTGCAAAGATGCAAAAACCATCAGGGACATTTCTTACATGCATATTTTGTGTTGTGAAAATTGAAAAATATGACACAGTTAAAGCCGTAAAATAAGTAACTAAAAGACCTCAATCTGCGTGCGTGCCTCCCCTACAGATGCAGCCGTGTGACCCTGATGCTCCTGTGTCTCGCAATCTGGACACACACAGCAGCCGTCCGTCAGACAAAAGCGTTCGACCGGAAGATGATGAACCTCGCATGTCCTGCAGTCGATGTCGTGGAGGGGGTCAACCAGACGATGGTTTTGAAATTTGGCATTCTCCAGATGTGGCCTCAGATGTGCCTCGCAGTACGACACCAGACATGTCAGGCAGGATTTGAAGGCCTTGCTGGGGCTGTCCATGCAGGAGTCACACAACACATCTTGGGGTTGCAGGGTCTCAGACACTTCAATGGTAGGATCCCTCGGTTCCTCCTCTACATCTGCACTGTGCTGACCCTCCTTCAAAGTCTCCTCATTAGTACTGCTGAGAGTCGCCATGTCTGAGAGTGTCCACCTTCTTGTGCCTTCTACACATGAGACGGTGGAGATTCTTGACTGTAACAAAGCCTGCTCCTCTCTTACCGCTGCCTTTTCCTGCTTTTTCTGTGATCCTTTGGGAGCATAAGGAAAGAATTAAAAAAGCCACGCCCAAGGTATTTTGTACTCAGCCAGCTAAAGCATTTTCACCACACCCCTGTTCAGCCCTTCTCTTGTTTGCCTTCTCTGTGCTGGGCCTCGGAGGGCTTCACACGCAGCAGATCACACGGAAGTGAGGAGGAAATGACGAGTGTAACAAGTGGAACAAGCCAAAGAACATCCCCATTCCCAATCCGTCTTATAAATGGCCTGCCTTGTTTACTGATTTGATAATCTCAGGGAAAAGTCTGGCTAAGAGGTTTATTTTAACAATAAAAGTTGTTGTTTTTCCACCAAGGCCAATGCATGACTACAAACATTACAGAGGCTGTACTGTGTCATCATGAGAGCATGCGGACACTTTAGTGGAGCTACAGGAACTTCGTGGGAGAGTCAGTAAGCGCTTCCTTCTGATAACAGTGTTGCATAAGACAGCAGCATTTATCTGAAACACAACTTCCTGACTTCATGCCAGGCAGTGCAGAGGAAGGAGTGACGCTCGTCTTTTGTGTGCAAGCAACCTGCGAGGATTATCGTAATGCCAAAACAAGTATTTTCCACTGTGCGTTAGTTTCTCTAACAGACAGATGCACACGCGTCAAAGTATTGGCAGAGGGAACAGATGATGTCTGTGTAAACAAGAAATAAGACAGGAGTTTCATTGACCTGTAAAATCCACTTATAAATACTATACAAATAGTAACACTCAACCTCAGTAGGATCTCAGCTGATATGTAATGCACCAAGCATTCATTTACTTTACACTGAGGCTACATTTCCCCAGTGGAATCCAAACTATCACATTTTTAATTTAATTTCATATAAAATAGTTCAGTCCCAACTGTTCTGAAGCATGGCTGTGATTTTAGTGGAAATTAATGAATCCCCTTTTATTTTAATTTAACAAAATTCATTTAAATACTTTATTGTAGAATATCAAAATCTTCCATGAAAAATAATTACATTAAAATGAATGTGTGCACTTAACTTGTCAGTAAGTGGTTATTCTTATAATACCAGAAATATGACTGAAGCCATGAATTAAATGGTAGTTATGGGATTACTTTTTAAAGGGCACATCTTAAATCTCAGGCTGTGTCACTTAAAGGCTTTATATGTGATTTTTCTGATCCAGCAGATGTCGCCCTTGAGCACCAGCATGAAACCAAAACAACTCGCGGTGCATTGTTGTGTTAGCATGCTAAATTTACCTGAAATGAGCGTGATCTAGAAACACAGTTAAGCAGTGAGTACAGTATGTTATTCTTCTTTTCTCTAGTCCCTCAATTAAACAACTTTTATACATGAGGGGAGGAGTCAGCCGGCTGTCCGGGCGATGTAAACAAACTGAAGATAGGACTCGGAAAACTATGGAAACATCACAGACAGTGGGACTCGGGTGTTACACCCATTGTAGACAGTCATGACTCACAGAGTTATTTTCAGAGGATATACTTGATTTCTATTATATTTAAGTGTGGAAAATCACAAATAAAGCCTTTAAGAACTCTTGAAAATGTCTTGAAAATTTCAGGACAGCCTGCCCATGAAATTGTCCTGTGTTTCTTGTTCACACACGTCCCTCAGCATGAAGTTTTTCCGGTTAGATAGGAGATTGTGGTTAAGGACATGCATGGTTGAAATCCAAGGTGGCGGAAGAAGCAAAGAGTCCAAAACTCTAATGACATTTTTTTGTTGCTTTTATGTCATTCATGCATGCGACTGGACATATTGACAGCATCAGTGAACCAGTGGAAAATAACAAACTGGCGAGCAGGAAAGAGTGAGAAGCAGCTTCATTACATGCATGGTGAACACACCGTTCACGTGCCAGTCGCGTTATATAACTGTCATCACACCCTCCCATTTACTGTGAATTTTCTAAAAATGTTTCTTGTTGCGTTCACAGATGCAGCTCATTCCCAAAATTGGGGAGTTTTGTGCTTGTGTGAAAACACCTTTAGCGATTCTAACAATGAAATATGACAAGTGTGATAAGTCGGGTCAGTAATTAACAACATTGAAAACATTAGTATCTTTATTTAATCCAGCTAAAATGTGGACACAATTAAATATCCCTGTGCAAAACTACTCAAGATACAAGGAAACACAAGTGATATACAAAGAGTTACACACTTCCTGGTGTGTGGTCTGAACTTGCAACATAACACACTTATATGAACAATGTTACGCTGTGTGCTATGAAATATAAAGATAGTTTACAACTCTACAGCAATCTTAAGGAACAGTTGGCCCACATTACCAGCGAGCGACACTTGGACTGACATGGCTTGCTGTATGTAAACATGTAGACATAAAATATGAGCAGGGAAACATTTGAGTGGCTCCGGGTGAAAATGTTACTAAAATGCTGTAATTTAAACAGTTAGTAATACAGCTCTGATAAGGTGGATTTCAAAGATTTGTGAGTTTAATTCAACTTTAAGCAGATGCACAGGCACATGCAATACAGGCACATGTAGTGTTAGGAGTTACCCCACAGGGGCAAACACATTTCAGGGGACACAGACCCTACACTCAAGTCTCTGTTGACTATGCCACATGGCATAATACTGATGCAGCACTGATTGTCTTTCAGTTTGTTTAACCATGCAGTGCAGGGGAGTCCAACCAAGCGGCATATAGAGATGTTTTCAGTGATCCTCCCGAGGCTTACAATACACTGTAACAGAATCCTGTTAAGAATTCATGTCACACTCGTCTCTTCTTGCTCGACATATTCATCTTGACAGTGTCCTTTCTGCTTTGTTAACGCTGAGGTACCAGGAGAGGTAAATCATCCCGTCCTCTCGGTCCGTACGTGACATTCACTCCACAATGATGCACTGACCTTAAAGGCTGGCTGAGCACACAGCAGGAGGTCCGTCCTCAACAACTTTTTATTATCTGCACGTCAGAATGGAGACAAGAGAGGAAACTGTTTGTAGCTGGAGTACAGAATATAACATGAAAAAAAACAAAAACACGCTGAAATCTGTGTGAACACTTACAGTTCTGTGTCCTCGATACAGTCCGGCTCGTCTATGGTCTCCAGGCGTGTCTTACAGGCGTCTAAGATCTTTTTCCGTGGCCCTAAGGGGATGTGGATACTCTTAAGGTCGTGGTCCGAACACAGCAACAGCGCTTCAAGGTCAATCTTCTCCCTCCTGAAGATGGAGAAGAACTCGCTCATGCTCTGTGCGGCGAGGAAGACCTCCAAAGGGCTTGTGTCAGCTTCATCGTCGTCGTCCAGCCCTAGCTCGATGTCTTCCCAGGGCAGCTCCTCCACGTTCCTCTCCTGCAGGCTGTGTGCACTGCCGATGCTGTCTGCATCAAGACCTGGGTACTGCTGCAGCCGACTGCGCATTTGCACGTTGTTCCCCGGGCGGTCCATGCTGGCCTCCTCTCGACTGCCCAGGTCAAACATCCCCCCACTCACATAGTTCCTCCTGAAGACCATAGTGCCCAGACCAGGCCGGTTGAACAGCGAGTCATGTCCTGAGTCAGTGCTGATCTCAGAGTAGTCCACGTCGGGCCCGTGAAGGTCCGGCTCGCTCATGGCACGTGATATGGCATCGTAATTGTCTCTTGGGAACATGTCGCGGACGTTGCGGCGGCCTCTGTCTTTGGGGTTGACATACGTCCCCTGTTTGACAAACATGACATCGTTCCCAAGCTGAAGTCCAGAGAGGGAGCGCACACTCTTCCTCCCGTCCTCGTATATCTTGAAAGTCCCGTCTCCCTGTTTCTTCTTCTCCAGCTTCTTCTGAATCTTCGTCTTCCCTCGGTTCGTGGCATGAAGAGTAGCCTAACAGGACAGGAATAACATGGCATGAGGCCAAAAATCACAAAATCAACAGATTAGATTTACACAACATTCCTTTTGATATCGTTCACAGGCCCACTGGTTTCTGCTTATGTTTGGTTTTGTAAACTCTCAGGAGGCGGGATATGATGTGGAAAGGTTGACACAGAAACACTAAGAAGCAACCTTCTGTGTTGAAAAATGAAGCCAGTGTGGAAGTGCAAAATCTTGCAACCAAGGTCTGATTGAGGCTGACTCTAGGAGCCCCGGAAGTCACATTAACACCCCATTCAAAAAAGACAGTTTTACAACAGAAAATAACATGTTTACAGCCTGGTACAAAAAAACAATATTGGTCCGATTAGTTATTGCCATCAATGGCATACACTGTACAGGTGGGATATTTTTTCTCCCAACACATCCCATTCATTTTATGACCAATACGTGTTATCCATAGTTAGGCACGTAGCTGACCTGATTGACAGGTGGGCACAATGTAACCATTTGTCAGGAGGCTCAAAACCTGCCCCAGCTCCAGCTCTCAGCCTGTCGTTAGGCTGAATGAAAGTCAAGCTGAGACGGGATTTACAGCATGGAGGTGGCTGATGAGCCTCCGGAGCCCCCTGCAGTAACAGATGTGTGACGTCACTCAGGCTTTGTCCATAAAATGTACAGTTTATGGGAAAAACTTAAAAAGAGGATGAAGCTACAGAGTCTGATGCTACAACAGTTTTTCATTTTATATCAGTGTGATTGGATGCATTTACAGCATCAACGAATGAGTGGTAAAGAACTGACTTGCAAGCAGAAATAAAGCAGCTTCACTAGAAGCACTACGATTGCACCGGTCGCTCACTGTATGTGATATAAACGTCATCACCCCTGCACGCTTGCTTGCAGAGACTTCTCCAGAATACTAAAAAAAATGTTTTAATTTTAATTAGAAAAACAAATCTTGACTTTTATATACGTTAATCTAACTTGGGGGGCTAGCAGAAAAACTGACTTTACCAAGAATCTGGTTCACTCATGCAGCTCACCCCAAAAAATTTCAGGATATTTTCAACTGTTTACTGTACTTGTGTAAACACCCAAACTATGCTTTCAATAATAGACGACTATACAAAATACTGACCTGAGAATATGGCACACTGACAGTGGCTGCGTTCAAGTTGCGCAGCTTGTGGCTTAGAGAGCTGCTGGTGTAACTAGAAAAGCTCATGGCGTCTGACGCAGAAGCCTCAGAAGTGTCCTTGTGAAACTTGCGCTCCATGCGCTTGTGGTGTTTCTTCTGCATCTTCACGCACTCTTTGATCCGCCGCTCGGCCTCGCGAAACGCCCGGTCCTTCAGCTTGCTGACCAGTTTGGTGTTGAGGCCCGTCTGCTTGACGGCGACGGAGTCCAGGTAGCGTACGCAATCCATGTGATTCTTGGTGGCAGCCATGTCCAACGGCGTGTGGTAGTCGTTGTCCAGGCACCATATGTTGGCACCGAAAGACACCAGGAAGAAAAGGCAGTTGTGGTGACCGTTGGCAGATGCCAGGTGGAGTGGTGTGTTCCCCCATATGTCACATTTGTCAGGGTCTCCTCTGTGGGACATGAAAAACATGTAAGAAACAACCCAACTCTGATATTTACATTTCTTGTTTTGACTACTGCGATCATACAGGTCGCCTCCTTAGACACTTGTTGAGATGACTCACTCATGAGTAAGCAGCTGATATTTTGATCGTGTTTTTAGCACTGACCTGCCATGCGTGGGTATTTAATGAGGCCTCTATTTATAATTTATAGTTGAAACACCCCATTACCCTTACAGAAAACAAACATATATCTTGTGTTAGCATATTATATGTTTTTAAATGCGGTTACCAAATGTGAAAACAGAATGTTCTTATAAAATGATCCACCAAATTATGTCGACACTCATGCAGTTAGAGCACAACTAACGATAAAAGCAACATTTAGTCTCGGAGGGCGATCCTCGACCTCAATGTTACCTCTACCTGTGCTGCACTGTTGCTGTCTGTCTGTAATATGACCACAGGCTTGCCAGCACCACTGCTTCACTACCTGTATCCAGTTTCAGGGGAGAGCCGACTAGGTTGTGCCCGACTCGAAAAAGCACAGTTGTGCTTGGCTGGTGATGTCATGCTTAATTCCTCAGGGCCAGACATACAGTACACTATCATCCAGCTGTTGATGGGAAGGACAGATGTCTTTGGAGCTTTATTTCTCTTCTTTTCACCTCATATGTGGAAGCAAATTAGTTTTTTTACTATTAAACTTTGGTTCCAACAACTTATTTCAATAAGAATCACTCTCATCATCTCTAACATTAACAAAAAAACAGAACTTATTCCAAACAAAGAAAGGGGCTTGATCTTGGTCGCTAAGTTTGACAAAATATTTGATACTTGGTACACTTTTCAAAGTTTTAAAGTGATACATTCTCTGATATTTGAATGATCAATCCACAAATGAAGCTGTAAAAAATACCTGCAGATCATTGGTCATATTTTTTACTTAAAGTCGCAGCAAGAAGAAGAAAGTAGCGACAGGTCGACATATTTAAAGGGTGGAAAATACTCAAATACTGACAAGTCTCAGTCTCAGCTATTTCAATTAGATACTTCCATGTCTCTGACACATACTCAGAAAAGAGGAGGTCAATGTCTAAATTGCACAAACACATTGGCAACATTTCGGTACCAAAACATTGCATATGTTTTTGTGCATATGCAGTGTGCAGGGGTCTGCTTGTAAGTTTTGGTAATCTAAAAGTAAAGACATTATAATCGGGTGACTTCGACTATATTTGCTGCCGTGTATTGAAACAGGTGTCATTCATGTTTGACCTTTTCCCAACTTGTATTGAAGTTTAAAATTCTGGTATTGTCACAACCCTAGTCGTCTCTTTAACAAAATATTGGTTGCAATTTCAGCATTTAATTTATTTTCATTCTTTAGCTTTGCAGTTGACTTCACATCATTCACTCAGCCGTCTTGTGTCTATTGCCCGTCTGAAAGTGTGGCCACGTACAGACTGCTGAATATTTGATACGATGGACATGAAGCTACTGTCAAACTGCGAATGTATTATTGATGGATTGCATTGTGATGTTTTCACAGGGAATGCTGGGTCTGATCTGCCAAATCCAACCTAAGGCGGCAGTTTTAGCAAAGTCTCTTACTGATTTCGACCCCCCCCCCCGCTTTTTCAGTCTGTTCAGGTTCACGTCGATTCACAACGAGGGGTTTAGGAGTTCAGGTATTCTTTGAGCTCAAATGGAGGGATTTGGCTCTTATTGTTGGACACTTTATGACGACAATAAAATGTTCAAACAAAGACATCACCCTATACAGATATTAAATAATATAATGCTGTCAAATAAGATAAACAGCAATTAGATTGGTTTCATTTATATTTTGAGATGAAATATTTACAACCAGATGAACTCACATTACATAATACGCTTGTAACAGATAGAGACGTGATAGCTTTATGTGTCGTAATTTACGTCTGTCCTAGTAAAAGGCTGACCGCAGCGGTGATAGGTCTGCCCACTTGTCCCTCCCCTGTTCATTACCACATTATGGGCTGTTTGCTCCTTCACTTCCTATGACAGCTTGATGTTACTGCAGGCTGCCCTGTGCAATATACCTGCCAAACATAGCGCTGCGGGGCATCTTTCCCATGAAATCTTCGAGCGATATCTTATCTTCATTATAATGTCCTCTGCTCTCATAAGTTTGTGTGCCTACTGTGAAACATTATGGCAGCTATTAATTTCAAATGTCAGCACCACCACCAGATGTCAATCAGGAGTTGATGTTTTCTGCTATTGCTAGGGGGAATACTTTGTCCTGGGCAGCTGAGCCCTGTTTGCATTTGCTTCGTGGGAAATAAGGAGTTTATCTCGTAGGACTGGAAGCCATCCTTGCTGTGTGTTTTAGCAAAACTTTAAAAATCAGACGTCCTTAACTTTGGCCTGCAATTGGGCACACGGATGAATGATGCCGTGTCATTCTTTACAGTAAGACAGTAAGTCTCTCACAAACTAAACTCGATTAAGCAGCTTCATAATGGGCCCATTTTTCTGCCTGACATGCAAACCAGGTCAGGCAGAGAAGATGAGGAATGGGGCTGTTGTGTGTGTGTCCCCCCCCCCCCTGCCCCCCAACTACCCCTGAGTAACAATCACACATTTGCTCTCTTTACTGAAGAAAGCCAGCATTGACACCACGATGCAGACCGCTTTCACAATGTTCTTAACTGTAAAGTTGACTATCAAATATTTGTGATGTAACCGGCTGGTTGATTATGTAATACTAGGCTGTGGAGCCTATTCGTCAAAACTATCAACACAGGATAATGAAAGGTTCCATTTGACCATATAAACAATGATTTAGGAATGATTTATACTTCATGCCTTGAGAGTCTTTTTATGGCCTAAGATAGATGCTTCTCAAGACTGCAGAACAAAAGTGTTATTTGATTACTTTTCCTCTTTTTGTTATTTGGTGATGATATGACAGGAGAAAAAGTAAAGACAATGAAAGAGAGGCACTAAGGCACACTACAGACAAACAGTCAACGGGTTACATGATACACTGAGCAGTAGATCTAGGAAGCGAGATCCGCCCCAAAGGTTTTAGATTTTATTTAATTGTTTTTATTTAATTGCCCTATCCCCCTTTTGTCCCCCCATTCCCCCCTTGATTACTCTCTTCTATCCCCTTGTAGAAGCTCTATTTCCATAGACGGGCCTCATACAATTCAGTCATTGTTGAACGGCATTTCAACAGTCAGCTTGTTTGAATAAGTCACATATCCCATGTTTGGTATTACCATAGTTGGGTTTTCTGAGAACAACTATGAAGCCACACAGTCATGAGAATGCTGGGTAAAAAATGTGTTTCATTCATTTAAAAGCTTACACTATGATTTTCACTCAGCAGTCTCCACCCGCCTCTGAAATGTAGCATATATCACGATAAACTAAACACTGTCAGTAACAAGGGGGATGAACTGTCTGCTTTTATATGGATTTCATTTGTGTGCAGCTTTATTACATATTTTCAGTACATATTTGGAATTTCCCAACATGCAAGTCCAACCTTAATTAGCTACCAAACTAGTTGTATTGTTAAAAGTGCTCTTCTTAGCCTGGAGCAGGGTCTACTAGATAGGTAGGCTACTGCCTAATAATTAGGCTAATGCACCTTGCAAAGACTGACCTACATTTTTGTGGTGTAGGCTATTGTATCTTGGTCACAGTATGGTCAAACTGCAAAACGTTCTACGGAATTAGCCTGTTTAAAGATTGAGATATTCTTTTCACTTTTTTCATTATTTATAATTGTAGTATTGGTCAACTTGATGAGAGGAAAACAATGCAAAAAGGTCAAATAGTTCCCTTACGCTGTTTAGTGCACTACCTGAAGATGGACATGTAGCACACGCGCATTTACGCACACGCCCTGTTAAGTCATGTACAATACCCACCCCCTCGCCACGATCAGCCGCAGAGCCTCCAGGTTTCCGTGATAAGCAGCCCATAACGTCGGTGTCATGCCATCCTCATCCGGCGCGTTCAGATCCTTCCGAGTCGCCTCCTTTAGCAGGTCCAGGTAGCCGTCCCGGGCCGCCTTGTGGTACCTGTCATTCATGATGCACAATTAATCCACCCTGCGCGACTCCATTCCGATTCATCAACGAAAACACCACCATCGTCATTGTCAATGCAGCGGGAGAAAGACCGGATGAAGAGACAATTTGTCCCGCTGTCTCTCTCTCTCCCCCCCCCCCCCCTTCTCAAACGGTCGCCCCTGAGAGGAGCAGCAGGCAGAGCGCGACCGTGGTATCCAGGGACGCCAAGATGCTCACCCTGTGGGTAATAGTGCTCCCGGTGGCCGAGGCTAACTAAAGCAGTCCCCCGAAAATAGACAGTTAAAATCCACGCTATTGAAAACTGACCATTTAGCCCACTTGTTCCTATTCCTGCAAAAATAATGGGATTTCAGAATTTTTTGTGCACAATCAACGAGTCAGGGAATCCCTTATCCTTTTTTAAAGGTGCATTATAATTTGATAAATACAAACAAAAATAATACAGTTAGCTCTGTAAAAAATAAAGTCTTGTTGCTTTTGATATTAATCAAAAACTTCTGAAAAACTCTTTCATGGAAGTAGGTCATTATTTATTGCAGGACTGCTGTTTAGCTGGATTAGATTTTTGCAAGGCAAGCATATTCAAAATCGTCTGCAGGCGCTGGTGGACTTGCTCTGATATACTCTCAGATGAATCAAACTCAAATATTTTAGGTATTTAGTTATTGTACACTTAAATTTATGAGAAAACTGATACTTTGTAATTGTTTTCTGGCAGAATACTTACAGTTGCAAAACATTACTAAAACTTTAAATAACCCTTTTAAACTGGTGCATCACTTGTAAATAAAGGTCAAATAAATCATTGCTTACAACAAATATGTTGTACAAACAGGAAATGACTTGCAGACTTTGAGAATGTAGAAGTATTTCTCTGCAGATGTCACTTTGTGCCTGGCATACACTGGAAAGACTCAGCTCTCACTGTTTTTCCATGTTACTTTCAATAAACCATTGTTCTCACTTAACTTCCCCTTACAGGGTTGAACAGAAACATTGTGTGACACAAAGATGGAGTGTTGCAATAAAAAAAAGTACCTCTGCTCTCAGCCACACCCTGATGAAAAGCATATTAATGAGCTTAATTACTGATTTCAACCGAACATAGTTGTGATGACGACTCAGACTTGAATTCTCCGACACACTACCCAATTTTAAACTTCCATAACAATGGCCGGAATTAGTGGCCAGGTTATTCATGTAATGCACCCCGGGCGCTCTGCAGAGACAAGAAACAGAGGCACATCTCTTTACTGAGCCATGAAAAGCATTGAAGTCGTGAAAGTATTCCCTTCCAGCACTAAATCAAAGGTCGAAGTAAGCATGCTACGCCTGTTTGGGGAATTTAGATCACATTTAGATTGTGAGGCTGCATTTGGTCAGCTGCAGCAGAAAGGGGGGGATCAAGTTGAAACAGACAATGAAAGCACAATTCATAAAGCCACTAAATAGTAAAAAAAAAAAAAAAAAAAAAAAAAAAATTTATGATTTAGTAATTCTTGCCATTTGCAATTTTCTTTCCCCCTGCTCTGATGTTTTTGTGTGCATGTTGTACATGTTTTATTCTCTGACTGATGTGATATCAAAAGTTTTTGCTGCTAATCAAAAATGGAACCGGTTTCTTCTATTTAGTAAGTGAGACGAAAACATTTTTTTCCTGGAAACACCTTTTGAACTTTGCATGAATATTTTGTGCAAAACATGCTGTGTTTGGTAATAATATGGTGTTGTTCATGACAGATTTATTGACATTTATGACTCTTTGTAGTCAACCCACCGTCTTTCTGATGGCTTATAAAAGCCTCGACGGCTCAGACCGCTTCTCGCTTCACACTACGCATCAGGTAGGCTTACCGGTATCCTGAAACCTTTTTCTTTCATTTCTCAAAGGTCACTGCTTTGTTTAATTGTCACAAGAGCTCAATTTTAGTAATGAAGAGCTTTTTTCTTTTCCAACATGCTTATGGGCTGTTTCACCTGTCTTTATGTTATTCCTGATTTTATCTGGGATAGTGTAGATAACTCTCATATAAACCTGTTTGTGGATTCTCACTCAATACTGTTAGCATGTGAGAGCTAAAAAAAAAAAAAAAAAGAAATTAAATCCCATTTGATGATATGAAACTGTTCTTTTGTGTAGATCTAACAGGGTGACAATTATGCGGATTTTGTGCCAATGGTAAGGTTTCAATTGGGCGGGCGGGAACTGTCTTTACAGTGAGCCAATGAGTGGGTGTAGCTGTTAAACCTGTAATGTCTCACATGGGACCAGATGCAACTAAGAGCTCATTTGTGAATAGGTCTGAGCTAGAGGAATCATGTGCCTGAACACTGGCTATCCGTGCAACTGTCTGACCGATGGAAACCCATGTGAACCATGCAGGATGACGGCCAAAGACAGGCAGACAGAGGAGACCCACCTCTCCAACTTCAATGTAGCGGGCGCAGCGGGGAGCACATGTGAACCAGACCTGAGTGACTCCTCCGATGGCGTTGTGAAGGAGCGGGGTCGAAACTGGGGATGGATGCTGTCTGGGATCATCTGTGTGAACATTCTGATCCTGGGGCTGTGCCCTGGTCAGCGGCACTGCCTTCAGCAGTGTAAACATCAGCATGCCTGACCTGCAGATTTTCCTCATCATCCTGCTTCTCCTCACCACCATCTGGATGATTTATTACGTCGTCTACACGGCCAGGAAAGAAAACGCTGTAGTTTACAAGGATGGACACGCCGGACCTGTATGGCTCAGGGGTAGGTTGATGACCTGCTTTAGAATTGTCTTTGTCGTCTTTTCTCCATATTTGAGTTAAATAATTGTGTCCCAATTGTTCTATCTTTCAGGAGGTCTTGTGCTTTTTGGAATTCTCAGTATCATCATGGACATTTTCAAGATAGCCGGCTATGTGGGCTACCTCCACTGCGATTCTGCTGTAAAGGTTGTCTTCCCTGTAGTGCAACTTGTCTTCATTATTGTGCAGGTAAAAAAGCCAACTACAAAAAAATTCAACATTGAATCAACTCTGTATTATTGGAAAGTATTGACATAAAGGCTCTCTTTGCAGACTTACTTTTTGTGGATCCACGCCAAGGACTGTGTGCAGTTACACAGGAACATTACACGGTAGGTGATTACTGGATTTTAGTCTTTGTGAGCATGCTTACCCTGAGGGTATTTATTTCGAAACCTGATATTACCGGGGATATTTTTATACCTGAGCTGCTGACACAGTTCTGATTTAATGGAAAATTTAGAATTGCTTCTACACTTGCAACCCTTTAAGGTTTAATAGGTTTTAGTTTTAGTTTATAATTCCATTTCTTTAAACTGTCATTAAGCAGCCACCATCAAATATTTTCTTTTAAGATTTATTTTGGGGCTTTTGGGGCATTTATTGGAGAGACAGTCAGAAAACAGGGACAGAGAGAGTGGAGAATATCATGTGCGAAAGGAGCCACAAGTCGGATTAGGGGTGGGGGAAAAATTTAATTATGTGATAATCAAGATTCTTGTCTTCTAAGTTTTAAAACTGATTGAAAATTGAAATTTTTTTGTTGTTGTTGTTTTTGGGCTAATCAGTCACTCCCTGCTAAGGCTAGCTCTTTAACTCAGTAGAATGCCAAATTGAGCAACAAGAAATTCAGCCAGTCTCACAGATGACTGGAGTAAATCCTGGAGTATGTATTAATTCATAAATAGACTTTGAATCCATGGATCAATGAACCCAGAATCTGTTTGAATCGAAAAACCATTCTCAATTGAATTGTAATCGAGTTGAATCTTGAGACACCAAAAGATTCCCTGCCCTACTCTGTACATGGGGCGTGCCCCCTAGAGCTTATTTTCTTGATCAGACAATTCATTGTTTGGTTTGTATGAATCAGCACTAGGGCAAAATGCTAATCATAATTTGTGGTTTAACAGTCCAAAAACATAACATTTATCAGTTTAAAGAAAGGATGACTCAAATGTTTACATTATATTCATCAAAACAGTGTAATTGATACCTGCTAAATATCACTGTTATTTCTCCTGCTAGCTGTGGTAGCTATAAACTGTGATACTTCCTTGACTTGGTGACTCACCTGAAGCATATCATACTCAATCTTTTGCTCCTGTTTCGGTCTCTGATCATGATTTCCTTGTGCTTCTCTCTTTTCTCCTTATTCAGTTGTGGGTTGATGCTCACCCTCTCCACAAATCTAGTTTTATGGATGACTGCGGTCACTGAGGAGTCTCTTCACCACACCGAATTGCCAGAATATCCAAGTAACACTACGAAAGACTCCGGACGAAAGATGTACATTAATAGAGGTAATTAAACATATAAAGAAACCAAAAGATGATGTTAGAATACAAAAAAAAAAAAAACATCAGAATATAATACTGTTGTCTTCTTGTGCCCTGTCATGTTTTACAGCTGGTTATGGAGACGATAAGTGCAAATGCAGCCACTCCTCATGCAGCGTCTTCAAAGAAGCATATTACTACTTGTACCCCTTCAACATCGAGTACTGCCTCTTTGCGTCCGCCATGGCCTACGTCTTGTGGAAAAATGTTGGTCGAGTCATAGACGATCACAGCCACCACAAGATCAAGTTCACTCTGAGGGGCGTGTTCTTTGGTCCTCTGATAGGAATTCTCTTAGTGGTTGCAGGCCTGGCAACCTTCATCGCGTACGAGATGCAAATACAGCAAGATGACATTGATGATGAGGGCAAAGAAGAAGCAGTGATGATTCACTTTGTTATGAATATAGTTATAGTGACCATGATGTCTTTGAGCAGTGTGATCGGCCTTGCCGTCTACAAAGTGGACCACAGGGAGCACGTGTCAGATAAAAACCCCACACGCAGCCTGGATGTGGGGCTACTGGTTGGGGCGTCACTGGGGCAGTTCGTCATCAGCTACTTTACTATCGTTGCCATGGCTGCAACTGGAGCCAAAGGCTACCTAAACAGGCTCAACCTAACCTGGGCTATCCTGATGGTGATCCAACTCGCCCTGCAGAACTTTTTCATCATTGAGGGTCTACACCGGGAGCCCTTCCATGAGGTGCAGCCAGTGGTCACTGTGGTTGAAAATCCATATGTGCTGCAAATAGGCAAAGAGCTGAACTGCCTCGAGGCATCAAAAATGGAATCAAAACTGAGCCCAATACCCATATCGCACAGCCTGCACAACCACGCAGATGAACACCGACCCAAACTGTTATGGAAGAGACGAGTGCTGAAGGAGGTCTGTGTGTTTCTGCTGCTGGGAAACGTCATAGTAAGTATACCATTCTCCCTTAAACTCTCCAATTCACTGCTTCAAAAAAAAATCTCCAAACACTCAATCCTCTCCTGTTTATTCCTTTCCGCAGCTGTGGATCATGCCAGCATTCGGAGCTCGCCCCCAGTTTGACCATGACACTGAAACAGAATTCTACCAGTTCAACATGTGGTCTGTGATTGTGAACGTTGGACTCCCTTTTGGCATCTTTTACCGGATGCATTCAGTCGCCAGCCTGTTTGAGGTTTTCCAAACCTCATAGCTCCTCGTGAAAACAACAAGAGCAACGAAGAAATCCTTGCTCCCCGATCCAAATGTTGTGTACAGCCAACTTTTTCAATATTATTTAGCTGTTTTGTATAAATTATTAGTCTGTTTGATGATGCTTTGTTGTATACTATACATTTTGTGAAGTAGATATTGACTGACTATTTGATCACCTCTCTCAATATAGCCTGTAAATGTGAAAATATAAAACATATTCAAAATGTTAATTTCATATATAAATAAGTCTGAGGCTAACCTTGAATAACTAGTTCACGGTTTAGCCTCTCTATGCACATAAGAAATGAAAGCAATGCATTACTCTGCACAAATGAACTGTTGATTGTGTCACTAATTGTTATGATCATTGTTATTATACAATTATTAAAAGAATGTCGCCTCAGTGGATGAAGTACTTGGACTAATGCAAACACAACATTAAATACACTTATTTAGAAGGCTGAGCTAAAATTCTGATTTAGTTTTCTCTTTTGTTAGCCTACTGTAATTTGAGCATCAGAGACACGTCCTGTAAGCATTTGTTTTATGATAAGCATTTATCAATAGGCCTACATTTTATTGTGGAAAGAAGCAGAAGCTTTACAGAAAATTAAAGTATTTTAATTTATTCTTTCATCGTTTGACCCCAGAGTAAAACGCATTTAAATGATTTCCTAAAACGTTTTCAACAGATTACAAGCCTATAACAAAAGCATTCATCAAGAAAGGACAACAGTTGTGTTAAACACTTTGGTAAAACTTACCTGCGTCAGGCACCGTCGGGGCTACACCTGGCTGGGGTCCTTAGCACACGGGTTTGTTTACAACCACGTCACCCGGAAATGCATCCCGGAGTGTCAAAATGCAAGGACAGGTAAACCATCCTAAACTTGGTTTTGTGAATAAATTAACCCACTGCTTGTTATTTAATAATAGTTTAATTCGTCCAGATCAACGTTTGTGATGCGTTTCGATGTCTTTTCAGATGAAATTACGAGTTAAAAAACGAAATTGCACAAAGCGCGTCTGCAGAATTAACGTAACCCTGCTCATATTTTTTCTTTAAAGGATTCCCAAGATGCTCTCCTTTTCGGTGAGGAGGACGATAACATCGGTCAAACAAAGTCCAAACTAAGGTGCAAGTGTCTTATTTTTGATTCTGGTTAAATGGGCTTTTTTCTTCTTCTTCTTCAGAGCAAATATGTAGGCTATTTATTATTATCCTATGAAACTTAAGACGACAATCTATGTTTCAGGCACCCACTGGCCTCATTCTTCCACCTCTTCTTCCGAGCAAGTGCCATCGTGGTGTACCTCCTGTGTGACATCCTCAGTGGTCGTTTCATCGCCTGTATGGTCACCATCATCCTCCTGCTGTCCTGTGACTTCTGGACTGTCAAGGTGAGCAGGTCAGGGAACGGTTGACCACAAGAAACAAATATGGAAATAAATCCCACTTTATGCCACTTCGTGCTTAACATTTAATTTTGAATTGCCAAAAAAACAGCAAAGTTTAACTGGTGCATATAAATGCTCAAATTGAATAAGCGGATACAAAACTGTACACAACAAAGAAAGAAAACAATTGAGGTATTCTTAACCATGTTTCATGACATTTAGTTTATTTTCTAATTTGTTAAGAAACCATTACTTCCCCTTTTTATATCAATTTTTGTCACTTGAATTGATCTGGTCTTTGTTAAACCGATTGGTTTGCTTTGCTTACATAAGATCTGAACATGTACAATCTAGTCTGTGTGCACAATATGGGAAAAAAAATCCCATTGCAATTATTTGACATTTATAACAATTGCAATTAGATTCATGATTAGTGGGAATGATTCCTTTTGCTCCACAACTTTGTAGGTCCAGGCATTTGTATAGCACATAACAATGTTTCATTTTACTTTCATTTAAAAATGTCTGCCCCTTTAATCCGTATATCACACTTGCCTATGGTGCAGTTGTGAAATTTGAATTGTGCAGCCCTAAATGAAAACCAATGAATGCAGCAGACCTTCAATAACTTTGTTTCCCTCCAGAATGTATCTGGCAGACTGTTAGTGGGTCTTCGGTGGTGGAATCAGGTGGATGAAAATGGAAACAGCCACTGGGTATTTGAGTCAAAGAAGGTAAGCAGAATTTAAAAAGGTGCATCCAAAAATCTCTAGCTGGCGGTATTTACAAAAGGTCGCTCTAAGAAAAGGAACAAAGGAAGGGTCTCACGTGGAGGAAAAACAAGATAGAATGCAACATGGTTTCTAGGCTAAACAGCCTCATCATGTTTCCTCTTTGCAAATAAACGTGACCTTGGCAGCAAGCTGCTGGCTCACGGGAGAGTGATAGAGATCTTTGTAAAAACAGGAATATTCAAAGCAGCATGAGGCGACTGCATTCCAGAAAAACATGCATCTACAATTTCTCAGACAAAGTAGAGCTTGCAGCAATTTTGCAAATGCCAACTTTACATTTACCTCAAATTTGTAGAGTATAATATAGCTGCATGACCTTATTGGACAGTTGGATGGAGTGTGAAAGCTGCATTGTCCTCTCTGACACATAACATTTGACACAATGGGGACATTGGATATGAGTTTCCATAAACGATATTGGTTTTTTTTCTTGGATTATTATTGAATAAAATGAAATGAAACCTTGTTTTCTTTTCTAAACAGACACAAAGTGTAAACGCAACATCCAGTGCGGAGTCCCGGATCTTTTGGCTCGGACTCATCGTGTGCCCCATCTTCTGGCTCATTTTTGTTTTCAGCACCATCTTCTCTTTCAAGCTCAAATGGCTGGTCAGTTGAGTGGTTATAAGATGAACTTGAAGTTACATTTTCTGTCTAATTATCTTGTAATTGATGGTTTATCTCTCTTTTATTCTGGTGTCCCCCCCCCCCCCCCCCCCCCCCCTTTCCACCCCCCCACAGGCTGTAGTGATGATGGGCTTGGTTTTGCAATGGGCCAACCTCTATGGATATGTCAGGTGCAAGGTGGGCGGGAAGTCCAATCTGGGAAACATGGCAAAGAACTATCTGAGTGCCCAGGTTTTTAAACAGGTATAAAGGACAACGATCATGCCCCCTTCCATTATGTTTTTTTTCTCTCAATGACAGGATATATTAACTTCTCCCTTTCCGTTCTTTTCCACTAAAGGCAATGACAAAAACAGAGGAACCTTGAAGTTGATGGAGTTCATTATATTTCATAGATTTTTTTTTGGGAGCAGGCGGCTCTTTTCTGAGGGGATATTGGTGTTTGAAATTCATTTACATCTCTGGTTTAATTGGTTTTGTGCGTGTTGATTCCTGCTTATTTCTTGTCAAATGATTAAAGAAGTAATTTCAAATTGTTCAAATAAATCAATTTAAATTCAGTGTAGTTGGATTTTAGAATATATTTCACCTTTTGGCAGTGACCAAGCACTTATTGGTAAGTGGAGAGTGTCGCTGTAAATACAGTTATAGTGGTCGATAAGCTTTAATTTGTTTTCAAGGAGGGGGATTCGGGTGAAATACAGTGCCTTGAATAAGGGAAGAATTTCTCTAAAATTGACAAATCAAATCTATCTAGCTGACGTTTAAAGGACACTTTGCGACCTGCACTAAGCATCTATATGTACTTTTATAATTAGGTAATGGGAAATCATTTGTTGGGTGGATACATTTGGCCCCATAAATTGTATGCCTACTTTACAATCCTGGACTGTGGACTTTACATTTTACACAAGTTCATGAATGTTGTTTGAATCAAACTTCTTTTGGTTGATGAAAATGATGTGTATAGGTAAGGGAGAGGTGCTAATTAATCAGGCTTACGATGTTGGAGATCAGATCTACATGAAGGTCATTTTTGGCCGGTTACCTCCAACTCTTTGGAATTGTATTCTATGAATAAAAAAGAAAACAGTGAATTACAAATGTGTGTTTATTTCTCTTGACAACATATTACGAGCTAATTACAGAGATACACTTCCTGTAAAATAAACTTTGAACTTTACATTACTTATGAACCAGAGATGTGCTGCTGGACTCGAATGAATGTCAAAGAATTCCACCACAGGGTGCCAATAGCCTATATCGGTAATGTTTTGCGCCCCATGTACAGTACATAGTCTAGTCCTTATAGCAGCTGCCGTGGGTTTGAATCCGACCTCGGCCCTTTGTCGCATGTCGTCCCCCATACTCTCCCCCCAGCATTTTATGTCTCTATACAGCTGTCCTACCTCATAAAGGCAACAATGGCAACCAAGAAAACCAACACAATCCATGCAGATCATCCAACACACACAATTACGTTTTAAAGATCACTTTTAATGTTTAATTAATTACCTTTTATTAACTTTGAATGAATAGTGGACATAAAGTAAACAGTATTTTGAAACATGTAGCTCAAAATAACTGCCTTCAACATCATCACCTTGGAGTCAGTGGAGAAACAAGTGCAGCGGGTTAACCACTAGAGGGCACCAAAGGACAGTCAGTGCTAGGCAGTTTCTGCGTACCATTCATTGCTTTTCTTGAATATGAAATTACAAATTGATTATGATAATCACTGCCAAACATTTTGACTCAGAGGTTTAATTTAGGTTGATATGATTCAATTAGGGATAAAATTAAATTAAGAGTGAAAACTACATTTATTTTATTTGTTTTACCAGAGAAAGGCTAACACAATCTGACATCAGAGACAAACTTCAGGTACAAATTGGCACACTATATTAGGCATATACAAATTAATTTGAAGTCAATCAAATGTAAAAAGTGTATGCTGTAATGTGTATCAGTCTTCTTATATTTGCATTGGAATTTCAAATATGTGAAGTCTAATGAAAGTATTATTATAGTATTTCAAGCAAGTTTTGGCATGCATTAATTCACATTCAGCTTGTTCTATCAGTACCAGAATTCAAAGTGATTGACAGTACATTTGTACAAAGTCATCACACAAAACATGGCAATAAAATACGCGGTGCCAAAAAACAAATAGAACCAGAAAAATATCTTGTCCGCTTTTTGGGCAATCTTCTGATACTGCTCACTCTCCGCCTTCTGTGCTTTGAGATCTTCCACGAAGTCGACCAACGTCTTGAGCATTCCACTGTCTCCCTCAGAGGCATTCAGCTTGATCACGCTAATGTCAGCTTTGACTTCTGCAAGGAATGAAGAAGCAGTCAGAGCAGGTAACGCAATGGTTTAAGCATAAATGCAAGACTTGGTCAAGTCCAGAAATGCTCTATGTCAAAAGCTTTTCCCCAAGTAATGCAAGACTCTTTCTCACCTTCATCCTCGGTTTCTGCCTTGTTTCCTGTGTTTTCTTGCCTTGAACCTTTTTTGGACCAGCAGGAAAAAATAAGACTACCATTGTTGGCCAACCCTGTCAGCATCATAGACACCAACATGCTCAACACCAAGAGGACTAGACAAATACAGAAGTGGGTTCCTGCGGCACAGACAGAGAGACAGACGGTTGGTATTATGTTGTTCGTTAATTTAGTAAGTGAATGAGTTGATTTGTGTCTGACTGACTGATGATTGGGCCGCACGTGCTGTCTCCAGGGAGCTCATCGTTGAGGATGATAAGGAACATGGTGAAGCTGAGGACCAGAGTGACCTTGAAAGAACAGCGTTCTCCGCCTCCCAGCGGCAGAGCGAAGCTGACCACATCAGCCAAGACGAGGAGAATACTAGGCAGCATTAAAGTTATGAATGGGTTGAGATATTTGACTGATAACTCAACCTGAGGAGAAAAACAGACACAAATTCAATTTGCAGAACTAGACTGTGGTTGAAGAAAGTGGTAAATATTTACTATTTAAACATGTAATGGTGTTTCCATTATGATACCAATACTTTTAATACATACTGCATAAATAAATCCTGTATGTTAACCATCTTACCAAGATGTAATTGCGGTCATCTCTATGTTCTTGTTGTAGGAGGGATATGCCATCTGTTTGCCAATCTCCATGGCTACCATCAATCATCACCTGGTTTGAGTGGAAGTTCAGTTTTGTACCACATTCTGGAAGAAGAAAAGTTTTCTTTAGTAGGGCTCTTCACAGAATTACTCATAGCCCTCTCTCAAATATGACAGACTCATAATGGGCAGGGGCAGATTCACAGGGGTGGTCATGGGTATCACGGGCCCCCCTCAATTGGATCTTATTGGCCACCCCAGGTGCAACCCCCCAAATCCTAAACTGTGATTAGCTATTTGCCTTGTCAGAACTGGGACTGCAAAATCAACTACTGAGGCTGTGTATCAACCAAGCTGCAGAATCCCCATCAGAGTCTGGATCAAAATGCCAATTTGTCAGCAGAAATAAACATGTTGATTCTAGAGATTAAATGTACGATAGGTTACTTTTGCCAAATGACTCATCCATTTTCAGTTATATTAAGGCTAAGAGTTATGCATAATTTGGCATAATTGGGGGCGTGGCTGATTTGACTATTAGGTGGGCGCATTGTAGCTGTTTGCCAGGATGCTATGACTTCGTTTCTAAATCCCATAACTGACTTTGAACCAGTGGATGTGTTCGTGTTAAAGGGGCATCGATAGATCTGTGGGCGACCGGAAAATGTTAATTTGGAGGACAGAGGAGAAACCAGCAAAAAATGTGAAGTCCTTGGCAGCACGAGCTCTGACACAGACGGCTGCAAGACGAAACGACACCAGGTGAAGCTCTATTTTCAAACAGTCCCCTGGGGTCTAAATAAAACATCTGTGGTGTGCTTTGGTCAAAATATAACATGTATCAAGCACCAGAGGAGGTTTGTGACCCTGTATAAACCAGCTCTCTCAGAACGCTCCGTTTTGGTGTGTGTGTCTCTTTAGATGCAATGATCCCCCCTGAGTTTTCCCAGTAGACATCCTTCTACTCTATGCGCAAAAGGTTTGTTCTAGGCTGGGGATGGAGTCCATGGGTGGAGATATCCAGCTTGTGACATAACAAACTGAGAAAATTTGAAACGGAGCACTTTTCTCTGTGTTGTAAGACTTATGCAGACTACAAACAAAAGACTGGATGGATTTAGTTCACATTTTGTGGGTCAGTATAGACACTCATATGTTCAAAAACACTGTAAAAGTGGATTTTTCATAATATGTCCCCTTTAATTAAATTGTACCACTGTGTAAGTTTAATAATACAATTGTAAAAACATTTTTTAAAAAGTATAATGAAGTATCTTGGCTCACCGCCATCGCTCCAGGTTTGGATGGCAACAGGGCAACTATCACCAGCGAAGGGGAAGTTGAACAAGTTGATTTCGCAGTTGATCTTGGCGTTTATAATGACAGAGTGCACCACTGTGCCGTTCCAGAATAACAACAGATCACTGGAGCTGTGCTTCATGGTGGATGATATTCTACACAGGTGAGACACAGATGAGTCAGACTAACATCAAAAAAACAATCATGAATTCTTTATTTAGAGTTTGATGATTTTATGCTCTGTAACTGACTGACCCATTTGTTACAAGGATCTCTGGAGTCCAGACATTTTTTACTGGAAGGGTGACTTTATCAAACAGGTAATCAGATCGGTTCCACGCCAACTCTTCATCCCTCCACAGCTGTGGTTCAAGATCAAAATGAATGTTTATGAAACAGACTCTAAATGTATTTCAGTCAATTTGGAAAAACTTTGATGCTTACGAGATCAGCTCGAATTTGACTTATCAGCATGAGTTCCTTAGTGTTCTATTAAAAGAGACAGCACATGTTGTTAGTACGAAAACTATTAAAGTTCAGATGGAAATCTTATCACATTCAAGTTGGGCTTCAAATGATTGCACTGGTGAAAAGGGTTAACAACTTTACCACAAAAGCATCTACAAGCACAATACTTACAACGGACAGAGTTTGGTACTCAAGGAAAGGCACTTCAATAACAAGGGAGCAGTTTTCACTCTGTGGTTGAGATAAGTAGCCTCTCTTCATCAACATTTCAGCCAGACATCTGCGGGTTTTGCAGGTAGATTCAGCATGCCAACACCCTGAAATAAGAGATCAAATGTGAGCTAAAGATCTGAACAGTTTCACTAGAATGCTCTTTTCTCTATTTTTCACAGATATACAGTAAGTGAGAGACACTTACCTGTTGTTTGAAGAATCAGTAAGAGTACTGCCTTCCACACGCTGCTGGTGCAAAAACTCAACATTTTTTTGACCGCTTCCTTGCAGGAATGAGGCTATCACAGTGCTAGCTTTTTTTATCATCCGCTTTCTCTAGGTATCGGCCAGACTTGATACTTAAATAGTCCTGTCTGTGACGTTTAATCACACATAGTCCATTCAGGAACATCGCAAGACAATACCACCGGTCCACAATTGTGTGTAAGAAGACATTGTTTTATTAATCACGCTAAGTTTTTTGCAGCTTACCCGTCATTGATCCTGTGTAAACAGTCCAGATAGAAATGCAATTACTCTTAATCTCTGTGTACCTTTGAGCAGGTACAGGTGGCTCCACCTGTCATTTTTCATTACAGCCGGCCATGCTGCTCTACATTACAATGACACTGTGGTTGTAAGACGGGACAGTGACCTTAAGCTGCCAACAATGGTCGGCAGGAGTTCGTCTCAAAGACAAAGACTTGTATTTGTGTTGTGGCTTCAGAGTAAAGTCTGCGTGTCTTCTTACAGTATGGCCATTAAAAACACTCTGTTGTTCTGAAAGCTGAAGGATCATTTCATATTATCATCAGACTTTATGACTCAAATGGTGATTAAGTTATATAAAGCAAACTAGAGCTGTGATATAACTTTGGCTGCACTGCCACTGCATTTATGTTTATATTTTAGAGTTATTACAGCCTGGTGGAGGTGTGAGCTTTAACATTTGACATAGGCTACTTGTACTAAATTATAAGAATAACTCACAGAATGACACAGTCTGGGGTTGTAATCTTGAACAAAAGTAATTTATTTACGGTTCAAATTAATATGTTGTACATCTTTTCTTTATTGTCCTTGAATGAATGAACATGTTTTATTGGTATAACCATAACTTTATTCATATGTCACAAAAAGACTAGGAAACCAATTTGGAATGGAGACATAGTCACCATGATAGCACTTTACGTCTCATTTCCATTTTTTAGGGGTAGCAAAATTATTTTGAACCCTTCATACCCCGTGATAGTGTGTGCTACATACTTTTCAGCTACATAAATGGGCTTTTTCCGGACTACTGGACCATTGCGTAACTGGTTCTTTTATCTGAAATGTGTTTCATACCTGATTGACCTTCGTCTGTCAGAGCAGAGGTTATCACCATGTGGTCTAAAATATGTCAGACAAACAGCACACTTCACTGCTCTCGAGGTTGTTCAGGCTGTCTCTTATGCCGGTCCCTCGACCTGCTTCCCGTCTTCCTTGATTTCTTTCTTTAACTCACTGGGAAAACAGATGGGAACTGTTTTCCCATTGAGTACCTGTAATATCTCCAACCTTGTCTCATATCCTCAATTAAAAATCACTCCTAATAAAGCCCACTATGAATAAAACTCCCCAAGTCTTTCCCCCCCTAATATATGATCACACCTATTTGATATCATTATTATGACAAGCAAAGAGCGTGTCAGGAAAGCGGGGGGAGTGGCTGCAGGTGCAAACCCATGGGTATCTTAAATTACCACAAAAATATCAAGCGATAGATAGTGAAAGGGGAAAAACAAAGAAATATTGAGGGTGAGGTACTAAACAATACAATAAAACAAATATAATAAAGCCATTAAAAACGACTCCATATAGAAGAACACAAAAACCAAAATGAGACCAAAAAAAACCCAAAGAGCCAAAAAGCAACTACAGAAACATCACCTAAATAAAATTGACTCAGCTAAGTCTTTCTCCAATGAACGGAGCCTGTTAATGTCCATGTATGTCTCTGTGCTTGTCACATATTATGTACCATTAAATTCATGGCTGCTTTACTCAGATCAAAAGAAAGGATGGTAGCTTCGGCATGTTTCCTTTATATTTCAGATTACAGATGTTGTTGTCTTGCTAGCCTGAAGTGCTGGCCTCACGTGGTGCATGACACTCCAATCAATAAATCAATAAACAGTCATGTAGTTATGCAGTTTCTGGGTTTTATTATGTACTGTTGTAAAGGAAGTGACACTATTTTCTTCCAGCCGACGCTTGCACTCATTCATTTTTTCAGCTTCTGCCTGTAAATGACAGGCCTGTTATTTCTAGGTTATCTCTCAGAGGAATGTCTCTTATCTGTGTCTTCACACATCATCCTGAAGAAACCCAATACAGGATGATTCAGGTAGACGTCAGAGGGTCCTGTTCTATTTTTAAAAAAACACCACAAGGCTGTTTTGATGTTGTCGATCCTCTTCCTTACAGCCAGTGGTGCTCTTATGACTGCCGTAAATGTGCTTTAAAAGTCAGCGTGTACCGGCGGTTCCTCAGTGATCTCTGCGATCTTATCATAAGTTGAGGACGAGCGAGACAAAGAAAGTCCCTGTGCCAATGGCTGGGATCTCTACCTGATGGAGTAAAGGTTAACTTTTTTGTCTAATGACTCACAGAAAATACAAAGACAAATGACTTTTATATACGCTGCTAAATAGCTTAACAACCTACAAATCATCAGTATTTATCTGCCCTTATCATTAATGACTGTTCAGATTACACACGTTTTATTTCATCATCCAGAAAAAGTTACCACGTAATGAGGACCTTCAAGGTTTGTGCATGAAAGGAAAATATTCCATGGGTCATAAATTCTTCCACATTGTCCAATAAGATTACAGTGGGAAGTGCGATATTAGAAGAAACTGAGACTTTGCCTCAGGACCAGGCCGGCCCCCCCAACACTCTGCAGCAGGCTGAACACAGAGGTGACTTGAACTGTGGCAACATATATCGCTCAATGCTTGGCAGGTTCTGATGGGCTGATGTGACACCTGACAACTTTAAATCCTACTCTGCAAGTAAGTTGAATACTTAAATACACACAAAATATTCAGAATGTTTGAGGTAAGAAGAGTGTGTCAAACATTTTTCAAGACATCTGAAGTAGCTAAATTAATCCAAAAACAGCTGAGTAGGTACAAATATCTGTTCAGCCCAACTCTTAAGAAAGTAAAAGGGTTCAGCGAGCAAGGGGGGAATAAACTGACCATGAGATGTAACAATGAAATATTCTAAATCTTCTGCTTATTAAAGAACGTAACAGCGCTTCTGAATTATCACCATGAACAGAAGAGACCTCATTAAAGATGACAATACGCCATCAAAACAAAGAACTTTTTCATTTCCTTTATGTTTAATGTTTCCATAATGTGCTTTGTTGTGCATTTACATAGAATATGGGAAATCATTGCTATGATTTAGCACAGAAAGTGCATTTATTTTGCATTAGAAAATCATGATTAAGATATTTTGAGCATGTCAAAGAGTCCAACAAAAAAAAAGGTGTTGCAAGAAAAAAGTCAAAACATCTATTTTACAATTCTATCTGAGGAATATTGATCCAAACTGCAGTATAAAGCAAAGACTGCTATGTCAGAAGATCTCAGAGGATTAACAGTGTGTCTTAAAGGTGGACATGAAGTCAAGAGAAGGAAGTGTATATAGGTCGAAACAGGACGAATTTACCACACATGCAAAGTTGCCATGATATGTCAGCCACGTACCTCAAGTTTTGGTAGTTTTCCTTGCTGGTTCCCTGTGCAAAGAGTACTGGAGGGTGGGCAGATAGGCCCCAGTGACATTTTTTAAGATCATCTACAGTCCTTTAGCCTGTTCCCTGTCCATGCACTCACTGCCTGCTGTATAAAAAATCAAGCTGCAGCAGTCTGAAACCTGGGACACTGCAGCTTACGAGTCAAGCATTTGCCTACTTATAAATGCATGGTTACTTGGTAACTTGCTATCCTTGCACGCTCTCTTCGATTCTATCTAAGGAAACATTCTGAATCAATGCAGAATAAATAGTGATAAGAGATGGGACAACATGTTATGCTGGAATTTTAACTGCTTTCTCGTTTTTTGGCATCACTGAAAATGTCAGTTTTATGACTCTTTCAGCCGCAATTGACCCACAAAACTTGCACAACAAGAGTCTGAGCTTCAGTTGAAGGTCTCATGCATGGGTGCCATGTGTTGATTGACTTTGTACCAGACAATAGAAGCCAAGCTACAATAAAATCTTATTTTGATTGACATTGACCTCACTGACGGGAACACTGTATTTTGTCCGGCACTTTTGCACAAACAACAAGTTTATGGATAAGATTGTTTGGCTCCACAGTCACACCACAGGAGGTGTGAAATTAAACTTTTGTGAAGCTGATTGTCATAAACTCAGATTAACATCAGTTACGTGCTGTCTGGGGATTTATTTAAGCAATAAAAACTCTATAAAAGCCTGATTGACACATTGCAAGGAAGTACACGGCGTAAGAAATGTATCGATCAGTGACTGTGCTTACTCAACACTCAAACAAGAACTTGATAAGGTGCCTTTTATCAGTCACAAGGAGCCGTCAGAATAATGAAGTGCTGTATAACACACAGATAACAAAATGTCCTGACTCTGGATTGTTTCACTGGATAGAAGGGGATGTGGTTAAAGTTTGACATTTGAGGAAAAATTTGGAGGTGAAAACTGTTAGAGGTGGTTAGAGGGTAATCATTAACCCTCATGAGGACAAACATAAATTCAGGTTTTGCTTAATTAACCATGAGACACTTTCAGATCATAGGGTAGATTGTTTATGAGCATCTAAAAAAGAGGCACACTTTCATTTCTCGTTTCTCTCTAACAAGTCAGTTTAGGAGTGCCATTGTGTTGTCGTGGGTCACATTTTAATTTTTGCAAAATCCACTTTAACAGTGTTTTTTTAACATATATTTGGGTAACCTGAGTGTCTACCAACCCACAAAATATGAAATAAATCAATCCAGTCCTTTGTTTGTAGTCTGCATAAGTCTTAGAAACACAGAGAAAAATGCTCATTTTCAAATTTGCTCAACTTGTGATGTCACCAAGGATCAACCTTTCCTCCATGTTTCTTGATAATGTCTTAATTATCTAAACCTATAGTAATAAAAGTAAACAGTAAAAGAAACACACATTAGCCAACACTAAGGCTTGGATTGAGGACATAGTCCAGCCTGGGGAGCCACCTTCACATCCTAGACCTGGATTTTCATCAACAAGACATCAACAAGATTTTATAGGTTTTAGAACAAAACAGCCAGTTTAACAGGTCAGGTTGTCGATGTGTAACAGTTTGATACGCCAATTTTCACCTGTTTTCCTTCAACAGGTCACAAGGATCATAGCGCCTTTATATGTCTGGTATGTTTGGCAGTAAAATTTAATCACTTCTGGTTTTAGACGAGGAATAAAAGTGAGTTAAACCGAAGCACTATACTCTACAACATAGATTCTGCTTGTCTTAATACTTTCCAGACGCTGCGTTTTTTTTAAAAGCTGTAATTTTTTTATTTTTTTTACTTAGCTTAATTAAAAAACGTCTGCCTCTTTACACAGCTATATTGTATGCATTAAAGTGTTAATGGTAAGCTTAGTAGAAAAACTGTTTTGCACCGTGTCCAGACTAAGTGAACGTCTGGTAAATTATCAACAGGTTAGAAACTTGTGCTCTTGAAGTCGCCTACATTTTTCACACCCTGAGCAGCAGACATTGCTCAAGTCATTCACTGCTGATAGCCTGAGGCACAAAGTGACCTACGCTGCTTGCTCAAACATGAAGGGTTCAGCTTTACAAACAAGTCCGGGGGCCTTTTACACTTTAGCCACATGTAATGAGGAAGATGCTGTCCTTTTCGCCTATGCATGAGTCCACTTTTTCGACTTAAACTTGACAATATAACTAATCATTGATTGATTGATTACATTTTTTTTGATTGATTAAATTTATTTTAGACATATCAAATAAAATCAAACATATCAAAAATACAAAACAAAATGAAAAGCATGAAAATACAATAAACAAAAAACTATGTTCAAATTATTTCACAAAAAAAGAAAAAGAAAAAGCAAATTACATATATTCAATTGATATGCCTGAAAAGGAATAGGAAGAAGTATAAAACTTATTTAATCCTACCCCTTTTCCACAGCTCAACAATTAATATTTATTAAATTAAATTCCTGTGTTCCTTATAATCTCTCTCTATATACAATCCATCTATATACAATTTGTTTATATTTATATACAAAGTGTGACTAGTAGTAGCAGTGAGCTTTTGTAAGTGGTCCCCCAGACCGCCACACAGTAATTTAAATAAGGTAAGATCATTGAACAATAGAGAAGTGGATCTGTTGGGTCTGAATCCATATTGGCTGTCAGTTAGTAAGTTGTGTTTTTTGATAAATTTGTTTAGTCTGTCAGCAAAGAGTTTTTCAAAGATTTTTGAAAATTGAGGAAGCAGTGAAACAGGCCTGTAGTTTGTGAAGTGGTGTTTGTCTCCAGTTTTGTACGGCGGTATAACTTTAGCAATTTTCATTTTTCTTGGGAATTTACCAGTTTTAAATGATAAGTTACAGATGTGCGTTAGTGGTTTTGCAATTCCCTGAATGACCTGTTTAACTATTCTCATGTCAATGTCATTATATCATCAACCGTCACTGTGAATATACATATATGTATATATATATTATTTAATTTAAATGATCAATATACACACACTTATTTATGTAAATACTGTAATTGACATCTTAATTGACCATCTGTCACATAACTGCATTTTACTCATCATGTTACTTCAGCATCTTTTGCACTATTCACCACTGCACTGTTTCATGTTTAGTCTTGTAAATATTAGTCCTTTCTTATTATGTTTATTGTTGATATTTAATGTTGTACCTGCACATAAGAGAGCACAGTTCACCAAAGTTAAATTCCTTGTGTTGTGTAAGCATACCTGGACAATAAATCTGATTCTGATTCTGATTCATTTCTGTCTTTCTGCAGGAGCCTGAAAGGTTAAAGCCTGGTCAAAATGAGCTCAGAAAGAGGCGAGCAGGTTGTCGTCGATACCTACTACACCACAGTCCACACACTTGGCAAGGAAAATGACGGCAAGCGGCTCCGCTACATGCAGAAAGACGGCCGCTTCCCGGTCGTTTTCCAGAAGGCCCCTGGAGACTGGAGCCCGTACTTTATGGACATCTTCACAACGCTTGTTGAAATCCGCTGGAGGGTGATGTTCCTCATCTTCTCCCTCTCTTACATCCTCTCTTGGATCTTTTTCGGCCTCTGCTATTGGCTCATTGCATACATACACGGAGATGTAGATGATCTGGATAATGCACCGTGCGTGGAAAACGTGCGGGGCTTCACCGGAGCCTTTCTGTTCTCCATGGAGACGCAGGCGACTATTGGCTACGGCTTCAGGGGGATGACTGAGAACTGTATCGTGGCCATTATCGTTGTGACGGTTCAGGATGTGTTCAGCTGCCTCCTTGACACCATTATCATTGGTATTGCTGTTGCTAAAATGGCATCCGCTCGCAAGAGAGCTCAGACGGTGGGTTTTAGCAGCTGTGCCGTGGTCAACCTGCGAGACGGGGTTATGTGTCTGTCATGGCGACTTGGAGACTTCAGAGGGAATCACATCCTGGACGGTGTCGCCCGGGCTATGGTAGTCCGATATGTGAAAAAGTCACAGGGGTCCATTGTGATGTCATACCAGGACCTGGACATCCAGAATCGAGACATTGTCCTCGCCACACCGGCCACCATTATCCACAAGCTGGAGCCTGAGAGTCCTTTCTACAGTCTGGGCCCTGATGCCCTGCAGGAGGAGGACTTTGAGCTGGTGGTGTCTTTCACCTACACCGGGGACACTACAGGAATGCTCCACCAGACGAGAACCTGCTACAAACCCACCGACATCCGCTGGAGTCAGCGCTTCCAGGACATGCTTAAAGTAGGGAAGAAGCATTACACGGTGGACTACGCTCGCTTCAATGAGACCACGTGGGTCCAGGTTCCTCAGGTTAGCGCGGAAGAGTTTCACAGGGGGAGACGTCCTGCAGTGGGGAATCAGTACCACCGCCCTCTCTTTACATCAGAAAAGACAAATGGACACACTTACCATGTGAATAATGACATCACTGAGGAGGTGATGCACCAAACTAGTTTGTAGCTTAAACAACCAGAAATATACTTTTTCTAAATTGTAATAACCAGTGGACTCTTACAGGTTTTATGAATGTAACAATGTGATACAATGTACTCCTGTAAATATATTTATGTGTGTCTTTACAGCTTTTTTATGCATAAGCAGCAATTCTTTGCTTAACATTAGTAAGGCAGCAGGCTACCGGCTAGCATGACGCAGCAGAAGCTTTCATATAAGAACAGGCAAGCCTTAGCCTAAATCATAAGCAGCATAAAATAAATTGCTTGATATAAGTAGCCTACTGGTTGGCTTAAATGAAATTCAGAAGGGCAAGTATGTTTTTAGTGTGAAGCCTTTAGGTTTATGTTGTATTGTAGTGCCGCACATCCTTTCAAATTCCCGTTCAATAATCACTGAAGAAAAATGACTATATGTGAAATGACCTTTTTTTGGCATGTAAACCTTTTGTAATTTTAATATTTGTTAGCACCCAAAATGTGGGAAGTTTTGCTTATTTTGTCATAGATGTTGGAGTTTCTCAACAGATGTAAACAGGCAAACAAAGAGCATCAAGCACTGATACTGTTGGGAAGGTTAGAGTATTATACTTGAATATTTTTTTAACACTTTTTATGCAGCACTGTGTTTTAATAAAAATCTGTTTTGGTAAAAGTGAGCTCACCATATTATTCCTGTCAGTTATACTGAATGTGAAGTTTTTAAAAGATAGCCCTCTGGGGTACAGCGTCTCATTTTCAAGGGGTTCTAACCCAAATTCAAAGTTATACACAAACTTACAAAACAGCATTACTTAACAAATTACCAAATATCTGCAATGAGACAGACGTCCAAATGTACGCTGATGATACTATCATTTATAGGCATGCATCAACAAAACAGCAAGCTGCATCTAAGCTAACAGCAGTGATGACCCATGTCACACTATGGCTTAGTAATACATATGTCTAATTTTTCAGGGATCTCTTATAGCAAAGGGGACCAACCAGTTTGAAACCTCGCCTTCCCCTTTAACTGACATCTCCATTGCCCAATGACTGTAAATATAGATTGATAGCAGAACAGCTTCAAAAGTGAAGCCAAAACATTTTGATCACCACCTGGTGGCAAGTTTCTGTATAGGCACTGTAAAGGTCTTGAATGTTACACCTGCCATGTAAACATTTGGGCTGAATAAAAAACTCAAAGTACTCATCAAATACAGATGTTTTTTTTTGTCATTTTTGTTTTTTAAAGTGTGCACACCCCCTTTGCATAACTCCTTATTCACTTAAACCATATGCACATTAACAACGACCCCCTCCTGTACCTATCACTGACCTGAGACCCTTGTCCATCCTGTCAATCAAACAATACCCTGTGCCTCAGTTCTCTGGACTGCTTGTTTATAATTTTAGCCACACACACCCATATACATACACATAGAGCTAAAGTTCAATAAATGAGTGGCATCTCAAAGAGAGTGAGTGTCAGACTGGACTCATTACTGGCATTTCCTGTTCTTACCTGTTAACCTGTGGTATCTGCATCATCATCAGAAACCATCACCTGTTTCACATAAAGCATATCAGACCCATGTATGTTAAAATGTCATTATTTGTGTGTAGTGGTAGAGGTTTTATATTTGTCAGTGGATGAGCCTAATTCTTTAAAGAATACATGTGTGCATATTTTGTGTAAAGAGCAGCAGACACCTACAATGAGGCGACGCCTGACAGCTGGTTCAGGCAGTAAACTCGAGCTGCTCTGATTTCACACTTGACATGCGACAGTATCAACAATCACCTGACACCACCTCCTTCCAATTAGCGGTCTATTTAAGCTGCAATATTTCCAGTCTCTCCCTCTGCTCTTCCATTGCCAGCTCTGCCCTGCACCAGTTACTGCACTCTTGCTCAGCATCCACCTGTAGACTCCGACTGTGGTGGGGGTGAAGATATACTTTCTATATAACTTCTCAAATTTCTGCATGTAAATGCAAGCTGTGAGGAGTGATTAGGTCGGAGCCAAACACAAACTACAATATATTCTGCTGCAATAAATATTTAAATCGACTGAATTGTTGCAGTCATGTGCAAACTTAAATTTTAAGGATTTATTTTATACACATTACTTTCATTCAAGCTTAAATCTCACTTCATGACAATGGTTTTATTACAAAAAGGAAACTACTTTTTTTATATTTTGACATTAATGTGTAAAATATGCTATTTTAATTTTAAAATTGTATTATTAATATAGGAATCTCAAGACCCCCATGTGGGATCCACTGTGCTCAGCCTTTTTTTCATCAAAATATACAACAAGCAATATGGCGTTCTTCGCAGTTTATAAAGTTAAAACTCATGTCCACATTCAAATTAAGTAAAGGTTTTCCTTGTACAACTCTAAAACACGACATGACTTGATGTGACGCATGTTCCAGGTGAATTAGCTTTTGTGGCTCTACACTGCCACCTTGTGTTCACTCAACACACTTAATATCACTCATCAGTGATGGTGATCACCGATTTCACCATCAAAGTAGGCCTGTACTCCCTCGAACAGGCGCTGCAGCATCCTATTGGCCGCTGGCCGGATGGAGGCGGGGATAGGCACACGTGTTTAAAAAGTCTGTCTTTGCATCCTCAAACATCTTCCTCAGTATTACTGGAGAGGGTTATGGCAGGATTTTCCGCGCCAGACGTGAAGCTTAGTGAACATAACAAAAGAGCAGTACGAAGAAAAGGGAGAGTGCAGTGTGCAAAACTGGCACATATGGGAATTATCACGACAAGAAGACGGCAGATATGCACAGAGAGGACCAACAGGTAGGTGTAATAAGCGGGACATAATAATACCTGTTACGACTGTGATGTAGCTCGGGAGAAAGACTTTTATCAAATGGTAGATAGATATGAGTCAGTAATATAGACTACATGCTGTCTGCAATAACTGATGTGATCTCATGTCCATACTGATGATCTGTAATAAGAACATCATCTTTAAATTTATTATAATTATAATTAATTATATTATTGGCTGCGTATTTTATACACCTGCTAATTGATGTTTCAGCTCGTATCCGGTCCAAATCTGTGCTTGTTTTAAACACTATTACGTCATAACTATTTAGCTCATGAAGCTCAGTGCATCTGAACTCGCAAATACTTGAACGATCCTGTAGAATGAAACTGATGAAATGGAAATAACTGAAGTTAATAATTTGAAATCACGAATACAATCTGCAGAAGCTTACAACAATCTGCGGGGTGATTGGCCAAAGTTATTGATTTGTGTAATAATAAATAGAGCAGCTTTATGTAACCAGTTTCCATCTGCCTCAGCTGTCGGCTCTAAAGGAGAACACATGCAAAACAAACAATCACAGTTTGTGCAGCCCTCTGTCACCATTTTTTTTTTTACCATCCAGCAACAATGAGAGCTGTGATATAGTGAGCAGATGAAACTCCAGCGAGGAGAAACTCAATAAAACTGTGTGACAGATCCATCGTGAGGCAGCGAGAGGGAGAGACCTCTGTTTGAAATGTGCTCAGTGTCAGAGCATCAACACCATAAAAAAAAGTCTGAGATTTGATTCTCACTGTATGGTCTGTGAAGTGTAGGCTGCTAAAGTTAGAAAGTACCACACAAATGTCCATTTAGCAGCCCTCTTCAACTTCACTTCTCTCATCATGCATTATACATATGTACATTCTATGCTTCAGTGCAGTCAAAAAACAAAACTTGTGAAAGAATGAAAAACTGGATTATTTGCTTGAAATAAGGTAGTTGACCTGGTCTAAACCCTGTGAATTTCTCATTTAATATTTGTGTATTAATGTAATTTGCTTGATGCAAAAAATGTGTTGAAGATGAATTCACTGTTTTAAACATGATGTAAAATCACTGGAATGCCATAAAGCAAATGATTTGGCACGCATTGATCTGTGAATGGACTGGGCCCCATATTCCCAATAGTATGCGTGACAGGTTGCTATTTGTAGTCGACCCAGCAGTGACATCATGAGTTTAGAAAAACAAAGAAGATGTGGGGGGATTTAGGATCGTGTCCTGCACAACTCAACCCACATGAAATTCAATCACTTTCAGTTCAGTTTCATTTAAACGCAACAGCATGATGGAATATGAAAAATGTTCTGATATTGCAAAGTGCTTTCAAAAGTGAAATTTGAATACTTTCTAAAAACAAAAGTAGGCCATTCGACTTCATGTCATAGTTTGTCTCTTTTTGGATTATTTGAGTTTCAGATGTGAGAGATGTCAAACCTGGAGGTGGGGAGTTATTTTGGCAAGAACAGAACATGCCCGGCTGACCGTGGCCTGTTGTAGCCTGTGGTGCTGCATTTTATTGGACCTTTCAGGCCACACACCGAGTCGATAGCTTTTCTAATTTAGCTGTCCTTGTGACTCTGTTACATAGGGTGCAAGGTTACCGTTTTCAGAGAAAGACAGCCATCCTCTAGGAAAAGCTGGAAACCCTCATGCAACCCCGCTGGTGGTGAGAATTAGTTTTGGTCATGCATGTGCGACCTGACTTTACTCTCAATAGCATGGAATTTAATAACATCTGAGAGTTTTTAAACAAGCTTTTAAACACAAGCAACATGTAATGCATTGCCGTCTCACTTATGTGTGTGCAGCGTGTGGGTACACTCCTACAAAGCTGCTACTTTGTACTAGCAGCTCGCTGGATTCACATGAACACGATCTTTAATTCGACTCAGCTCCCCAGTGACTAACATGCCTAATTAATACTTGCATTAAGCAGGGTAAACATCCTCTCCCACTTTGTCAGCTTTCTTAGTGCTTGAATTATATGTCTTATCTACTACTCTTAATGCTCAACAATATATTTCCTATGCTTTTAAAACCACACTGCATACATCGCTTAAACATTATCTGTGGATGCTGGCAGTGCGCAGCTAACTTTGAGTGTGCAATGCATTATTTAGACAGAAGGGAACCACACACCCACACACACTGATCTATGCTCTGGTTCCTGCCAATTACTTTAAACCTGTTTTTCTCTCTGCCCGTTATTTCCACAGCTCACTTCACTGATGAGGTTCAAAGCAGCCGTCAGTGAGGAGTGACCCGTCCTCATCAAAGGTGCACAGCACGCCTGCAGAAGCACAGGCCCAAGCCGCCCTCGTTTCCCCGCAGGATCTAGTTCCCTATTTCCAGCTGAGTTTGGCCCTTGGATCATTCAAAACTGTTTCTCCAACGCTTCTACCAAAAACTTAGACTGTTTTCCAAAGCAGATTCGGCCCAGCCCCCCCAGGCGGCAGCAATGGGGAGTGTGCGAAGCCACCGTTACAGCATTGTGTCCTCTGAGGAAGATGGCATGAAGCTGGCCGCCATTGCCGTCCCAAATGGCTACGGAAATGGCAATGTCAACAAGGTGCACACGGAGCACCAACATCAGAGCCGCTTTGTCAGGAAGGATGGCCACTGCAACGTGCAGTTTATCAATATGAGCGAGAAAGGCCAGCGGTACCTGGCAGATATCTTCACCACCTGTGTGGACATCCGCTGGCGATGGATGCTGCTCGTGTTCTGCCTTTCTTTCCTGCTTTCTTGGTTGTTTTTTGGCTTTGTCTTCTGGTTAGTGGCCCTCTCTTACGGGGACTTAGACAACGAGACTCAAATGTGCGTTTCCAACGTGGACAGCTTCACGGCTGCCTTTTTGTTCTCCGTGGAGACCCAAACCACTATTGGCTACGGCTATAGATATGTAACAGAGGAATGCCCTGTTGCGGTCTTCATGGTTGTCTTCCAAAGCATTGTGGGCTGCATCATCGATGCTTTCATCATCGGTGCAGTCATGGCCAAGATGGCCAAGCCCAAAAAGAGGAACGAGACCCTGGTGTTCAGCCATTATGCTACTGTGGCCATGAGGGACGGTAAACTTTGCCTCATGTGGCGCGTGGGGAACCTGAGGAAGAGTCACCTGGTGGAAGCCCACGTCAGGGCCCAGCTACTCAAGTCCCGCACCACCGCTGAGGGCGAGTACATCCCTCTGGATCAGGTGGACATTGACGTGGGCTTCGACAGTGGCATTGACAGAATCTTCCTGGTGTCACCAATCACCATCGTTCATGAGATTGATGAGGACAGCCCGTTCTATGAGATGAGCAAACAGGAGTTGGAGACATCAGAGTTTGAGATCGTCGTGATCCTGGAGGGCATGGTCGAGGC